GGCTGCCAAAGCATGAGACGTTCAAAAAACATGTGGCGAGCCAGGGAGGGGGTTTTTTAGGGGACTCGAGGTAGGTGAACCATTTATAATCCGTGAAAAGCTAAAACGTGCGAAGTCACAACAACCACAGGCACGCGCACGAGAGAGTGCAGAGAAAAACAGAAGATCGGCGCGTTTAAAGGTAGTGAGTTCAAGTTGTCCGCACACCGTCCACCACCGTACAGCAGCGTTTTCGCGGGCACTTTTGAAATTGAGCGAAACTATCCGCGAAAACTGTGGCGCTCGCTGCCGCAAGTATGCAAGCAGCTTGAAGGTATATTGTGAGGTGAAAGCGCCGTTCATATGAATTTCTATCAAAGATAGAACGGGTTATCTTACGCCACTTTTAAATATGAAAGAAGAAATGACGAAACTGTGGATGAAAGAATACACATATATCGATTTGAAGAACAGAGGAATGGCAGAAAGACGAATCTGCGGAAACGGAGGATCTGCAGAAACGCTGCAATTGCGCAGAATCGGCATTTCTGCCACTGGCGGGAGAAGCCAACAACTGCTATCCAGTCGTTTCCACTCATTCGGGCATTTTTGCACATTCTGCATATTTCTCGATTCCGCGGTTCTTCATATAGATAAATACACTTTTTTCATCGCAATTCTTTCATTTTTTCAAGGTCATCATGCACGGATACATCCGTAATGCAACTTTATCGATTAACAACAACAGATTTGTCAGCGTCACCGGTACTTGCGGGAAAATACAATGGCAATAACATGGCCATGTGAAATGTGAACGGATCAAACTTTCCTAGTCCTAGGAAGAGAGTGGGAGCTCTGAATGGGAGCTGCACCTCTCTCTTTTGCAAAAATGTGGCAATAACAAGCTGCGAGAAGCCAGGAGTACGCGCCATGAGTGTGTGGTACGCAATTACACGAAATACCGCAGAATCGACGTCCATTAGACATCCGTATGGGTATCGCTTTACCTGACATGGTCATTTTGGTTTGAGTTCTAGCTGATTCTGCATCCTTGTAGCGTCGGGCAAAAGCGAGTTTCAATCGAACGGAACATCGTCCAATTGCCACACACTATGGCCGCTCCATGTCCTCGGTGGCAGCGTTGCCTGGTGCATGCATGGTGCAAAATTGTGGTATGGCCGTTTGGACTGTCCAGCAAGTTCGGCCACCGCAGCTCATTTCTGAAATGCCTAAAAAGTTTTACCAAACCGCTGAAAACCATGTGGACAAGGGTTATTTAACATCGTGATTACAATTATGACACTCATTCTTGGCGCTGGCGCCAAGAGCTGACACTACGATTACCTCCTGGACTCAGCTTTAGCAGACTGGTAACCGCAGTGTCATCCATTAGCGCCAGCGCCAAAAATGAATGTCATATTCGTGATCAGGATGTTGAATTACCCCTATATACAAGTTTTTAGCGGATTTGGTAACTTAGGCAAATTGAAAATGAGCTCGGTGCCGAAATTGCTGGAGCTCCAAAGACGGATTAGCCAGAAATGTCGAATCATGCAGAACCTGCGCGAACACGCAGGACAGAGATGATACGTATCGATTTCAAAAAAACCGCGTTTCTGCAAACTCCCGGAATTTGCAGAAAATGGACGGACAAAGAAGTGTGGCGGATCGATCGAATTCGTCTGCGTCAGTGCGGAATTGGAGAAATGCAAAAATCTGCCAGATTACTTCCCCCGCACGTTCGGGCAAATTCCGCGAATTTTTTAGCAGAAATGCAGAAAAGGACGCCGACAAAAAAGATGATAGGGATCGATACGCGTCTCGCACTTCTGCATATCCACGGTTTTTGAAATCGATAGACATATTTTCTTTCTGCAAGTTCCGCGGTTCTCCCAATTCCGCAGGTCTGCAAATTCCGCAGTTATGCACATTCCGTGGTTAAGAAGATAATAATACACTCAATGTATGAACGCGGCCTAAGCTCTAATAGCGAATATTCGGAGCAATTCCTTCTATAACGGGTTGTTCGTTCATTTCCTGTTGTTACATGATCTCAAGGGTTTGTCCTCTTTCCATTCGTCGTTCTCTCTTTACTTCTTCACCATGGCACTTCAGTCATTTTGCCGTTATACCTTATTTGCACAGCGTTAAACACGATCTCCCGCCATCGAGTGGTAATCAGTCATCGTTCATTTCTGCGTTTTCATCTTTCTAAGCAGTTCTGGAACTGTGTAACTTACCTAAGAGGTGAAGAAGGCGAGGCTGAGCGAGGTTCACTGGTTGTATAAATGATAAAGACGGCTGCTTAAGAACTACCTTCGCTTTTTGAGTTCCTGGGTCAGCCAGTGAAATGACTTCCCTGTAGAAATGTTATCATTGGAGGGAAAGGCCGCCCGGTGCTGACATTGTAGAGTGGGGTCGCATGGTAGAGCCTGTTGCGTCACCCTTTCCCCGAGAGCGCGTTCACCTGGATCGCGCTATCAATGGCTCGAGCGGTCTTATCGCGCGATCCAAGCGATAGGACCATAACGCTAGGATCAAGACGCTTTAATCAAGGCTTCTCCCGCAATCAGACTTGGAGCGTAGTACCGCTGTCGCCGTCGGCTACTCTTGCACAGCGACAGTCTATGTGTGCGACTCGGGAGTCTGCCCTCCAAGCGAGGCCTCGGCTAGAAGAAGGGACACGGAGACATTACCTTGCGACTCCGTTTGACCGCGCTAACACCCAGCACCTTTCATCTTTTAGAAATGGTAGCCTAAAGTTAACTTATACCACCAGTTCTCCTGAGACATCGACGTGAGGCTGCGTTCATACTTAGCGTCACCGTACGCCAGGGTTTTCGCGGGCAGTTTCAGTTCAAGTAAAACTGCCCGCGAAAACGCTGGCATGCGCTGTTTGCCGCTGTAATCGCTAGGTCGATATCCATACTTTCATAGTCGCTCGAAGCTGCTGTATGCTGGCATACACTAGATCGATACTTATGTTTCCTAGTCGCAGTCGCTGCCGTGTACTGACGCAAAGTATGGACGCAACCTAACCTTCTTTATTGTTGTGTCAAATTCGCCGCCGAATCACCTGTCTATACGCATCGAGTCCTTCCGCGGGACGTTATTTTCTCCGATTCGTCAGGGTCGCGGATTGTAAACCTCAAGGTAGCATTGGATACTGTATTGGTGCGTAGGGTACGCACAGGGCACATCATTGGTTGGGGATTTTAGTCGAGTCCGTACCACCCCCCACTCCTTTTTTCCTGGTTGGGGTTGGTACGATCCCTTCCCCTCCGGCCCTCTGTGCCTCCATATCAAATCGAGCCGTCGAGCAGGTGGGGTATGTAGTACGCATGAAACAGGAAAATCACGAAAAGTCAACCACCACGTGAAGCAAGAAAAATCAACTATCAAAATAAATTTCTCAACCCAAATACGACCCCCTCTCCTGGCGGCCAAATACGACCCCCCCCTCCCCTGTTGGGGATTCCCCAACAACCATGTGCCCTGGGTACGCAACATGCACTGTATGTGGAATTTGAGCTTTATCATGGCAGTGATTCGTTTTCCTTAATCTGAACATCCTACTTGTACTTAATGGGCTATGTCCATGTGAGTCCAAGAAATGATATAGGTTATAAAACAGTAACATCTTCGAGAAGGTGACAGGAACTGTGAGATGCTGATAAGAGTTCGTTAAGAGCGTTAGAAAGTTGAGGCCAGCCTTTCAACAGCGCGCCTTATCGCTTCAGCGAGGCTTTGGTTCTACCAAGTGATAGAGGGTGAAGTGGGGTTGTCAGTAATGGGTGATTAAAAGCGATAGCAACTGACACGGCCTCGTGAGGGACGTTGCGGTCATCGTCGCTGCTAAAAGTGGTGGAGCGTTTACTCTACCAAATTACAAAGATTGAGTGATAAGGACATTGGTGGGATCATATCAATCTATGAGAACAGGTAAGAGGCCATTTTCACTACATTTCTTATCATGAGCTTGAAAGGGAAATTGCGGGGAATTTGAAAAACCAATATTATGAGATTTGCAGACAGAAACACCACCCCCTGTTATCTCTCTATTTGCCGATTTGCTGTGCCCACATTTCTTTAGTGGCGGATCCCCCTCCTATCATATCTATCGGTGTAGATCTAGAATACCATTCGGGTGGCTTGCTTTTTTATACTGATGACGAAAAGGTTTTTTTTATATTGCAGATCGAGATGAGTTCATATCG